ATCACCACAAAAGTGAGGTCAACAAACATCCATCTGCTCCAAATGCAAATCCCAAATGACTGTTAATGCAAGCACTGCCTTGATTGAAGTATGTCTAACCACAGGAGAAAATATTTCATCATAATTTATCCCCTTCTATTGTGAAAATCCCTTTGCTACAAGTCGAGCATTGAACTTTTCCCCTTCTTTTTCTGATACTGCTGGTTTCCTTTTGTACACCCACTTGCACCCAATAGTCTTCTTGCCCTCAGGAAGCTGAACTAGCTCCCATGTGCGATTTTTCTGTAAAGACTCCATCTCCTCAACCATTGCACCCCTCCATTTCTCTTTCTCCTGGCTAGTGATAGCTCTTTGAAAATTGGATGGATCATCGTTGTTGATGAGAAGTGCACAAGAGACCAAGTCTTCATAACCCAATATGCTAGGAGGCCTTATATTGATGTGTCTTTTTCTGTCTCTGGCTAGATTATAATTCTACAGATCATGTGTAATAGAATCACCAGGTGTTGGATTTGAACATTCAACTCTCTCAGTTGTTTCTGGATGTTAATCTAAATCCATCTGCACTACATATAAACTGGAACTGTTCCCTTGCACCTTGTCTTGATTCTGAACATGGACTGTTTATCAAAAACTGCATCTCTGCCGATCACCACTTTCATTGCAATCGGATCCCAAAACTTGTATCCTTTCACACATTTCTTATAGCCCAAAAAGATGCACTTTTTGGATTTTGCATCAAGTTTTGATCTTTCATCTCCATGTACATGCACATAAGCAGGACAACCAAAAATCCATAAATGATCGAAATTAACTGGATTACCTATCCATACGTCTTTTGCGACCTAGCCACCCAACGATGCCCAAGGTGATCTATTGATGAGATAATATGCCGTATTCACATCCTCTGCCCAGAAACTCTTAGGAAACCCTGCATTCTGTTCAAGCATCTTGTCATTTCAGTTAAGGACCTGTTCATCCTTTCTGTCATACCATTCTGCTGTGGTGTCTTGCGTACTGAAAAATACCTCCGAATCCCATGCTTCTCACAGAACTTCTGAAACTGTGAATCTGTGTACTCCATGTCATTATCGGACCTCAAATACTTGATATTTTTGCCAGTTTGGTTCTCTACCGCAGCTTTGCACAGCTTGAATTTAGAGAAGACTTCAGATTTCTGCTTCAATAAATATACCCAAACTTTCATGGAGAAATTATCAATAAAGGTAACAAAATACTGAGATCCTCCTAATGACGATTCCTTAGTAGGGTCTTATATATCAGAATGCACATAATTAAGAATCCCTTTAGTTTTGTGATTTTCAGTCATAAAACTGACTCTAGTTTGTTTTTCAAGAACACAAAACTTACAATGATCTAGATTGTAGCTTTTAACACCATGCAACAGGTTTTTTTATACAATTCCGTCATCCCACATTCACTGAGATGACGCAGAAATTTAGATGAGTAAATCCTGAGTCCAATTTAAAGGGCAAGTCATTTATTTATTTATTTATTTATTTATTTTTTTCAGTATGGTGAGTGTTTGAAATCAATACATTAAAATTATTCATTTTATTTTGAACTAATATGCTATACATTTCAGCATTAGACTTGTATATTGCAAAATAATGACATTATATTTTAAAATAGAATGGACAGTCAAGTAATTCTATTAATAAGTCTTTTATATTGAGCTAAATTTTTCTCGGAATATTCTGAGCCAAATTTTCTCAACAGGCATGCTTCAAAATATGAGAAAGTAGCAGGATCACAATATTTTGTATAAATTTTTTTAGTATAAAATACATTATTCTTTTTTGCAATGTAAGTAGGTTATTATTTTACAAAACTAATTTTTTGTATCGCTAAAAATGAATTTTATTTCTAACTATATATATATATATATATATGGAAGATTTACACACACACCCCTCAATTCTTATGTATTTACATTTTTAACACTTGTACTCCATAAATTTTACATATATGAAACCTTACCTTTGCACTAATATGTATATTTCACTTCTTAAAAATTAGCATAGCGATATTTTCTGCCTGATATAAATGATTTTGTTAATATAAATGTTAAAAATGAATTACGGGTGTTCTATATTACATAGGACATAGGTAGCATGTATAGAAAAGATCCCTTACATATATAAATTAAAATATACAACTAATATTGCAATACATGCCGACAAACATAACATGCCTGTTTGAAATTTAATTTCAGAATCCAAACAATAAATCTTCTAAGCGATGGAGGAAATAAAGGATCAACAAGACAGTGTCTCCGGAGAGCCCTTGTCTTCTACTTCATCTTCTCCAGATTCAAACAAGGAAAGTTCAGTAGCACCGAATGGCATAACAAAACTGATGAATCCGACTAGAACCCTAATCGACACGGCAGCACCTTTTCAATCCGTCAAAGCTGCGGTTAATATGTTCGGAGGAAATGTTGATTGGAAGGCACAGAGGGCAATTGCAAAAGAGGTAAGATTTTGATTTGTTGCATTATGATGAGTTAAAAGGACTAGGAAAATAAAATTTTTGTGAGGCAATTTGTGGCATGCTTGATGTATTTGTCATTCAGGATTTTTTTTTTGAAGAGTTATGTTGGAGTGGGTGATCGAATTTATGTTTAGGTTGTGTCATATCCGTATTAGGCAATGTCTGGTACAGTATTTGTACACCAGAAAGAGTGTCAATACGAATTTGGGTAGCAGCATCCTTCAAGGACAATTCCTGATCATCCGCCCGACAGACATCATCAACCACACTCGGAGCGACATACTTCCAAGGAATTTAGGGAGTATTACCCCAGAAGGATTCGCCAAGATCACACCCACCTGAATAAAAAGAATCGCCTACCAATCCGACTCGATAATCACCTGGCCTGGTAACTGTATAGTCTAGCAGTCGCCCGACCTCACGACCGCTTGGTCATACAAACGCCGACATCACAGCCTCCCAACCAAATAGCCATCTAGCCTCATCATCACCCAATCCAATGTCAGGCTTCCATGTCAGTTGGTCCCAAATATAAAATGCGTATATATGTTCACTGAAATGCCCCTGATTTGCCCTTAAACTTTAGGGGCACAATGTGTAATTGTACAATAGTTTGTTCCTATAAATTGGGGTAATTTCATGAAAAAATGCAACTTTCTATTCATTATTGTGCTATGGCTCTCTCTAAATCTCTCTCTCTCTCTGTCTCTCTCTCTCTCTCTCTCTTTCTCGTTTAGCACTCTATTCCTTAAGCATGTCTCCTAGATAGATTCATATTCAACATCCTAAAAGGTACGGTGAGTGTAGAGTCACGCCATCAACTAGAAGAGGATTGTGACAATCACAAAGGAAGACAAGCAACTGAAGAGAAGAGGCCAACAAGGAACCACTATGAGACATCATTGACCGTGCAACCAATATTATCACAACCATCCTTGGAGAGAAAGATGCCCATCAACGAAACTACTAGAAGTGGACCAAGATGGGGGAATTGTGTGACGTCACGACCGCTCACAGAAGCATGAATGGTCTGTCAATCACGTTCATCAAGGATGACCTTCTGCAACAGGGAAACCCATTTGATGAAGCCATAGTCTTTGCTGGAATAATAAATAACTTCTTAATTGGGACCAACTTCATTGACACAGAAAGTTCCGCGAACATTTTCCTTGAATCAATATTTGATAAACTCAATCTTTGGGTCAACAGGTTGGTAGTGTAGGTCGGTCCACTTTTTCAATTTTTCAGTGGAACAAAAAGAGGCCCTGAGCAAAATGCCCTTGGCGATTTCCTAGGGTGAAGGGGAGAAGCAATTCACAGAAACAGAAGACTTCATAGTTGTAGACTCACCACCAACACACAACACCATATTTGGTTGACCACTCCTGAATCATTTTAAAGCAATCGTTTCCACTTACTACGTGATAATCAAATTCCCCACATAAGGTGAATTGATCACAATCAAGGAAGATTTGGATCAACTGCAAGTCTACTACTTATGGGCAGTTAGGAGTATTGAACAAAAGCTGCTTAACCAACAGACTTGAAGAGAAGGTGGTCTCAAGACCAGTGAAACGATCTATGAAATTCTTGTAAGCGTGAAATAACTTGGTAAATCTTTTCTAAATAGCAAAATTTTGATGCAGGATACCGGGGACTACTATTTTGAGCATGTAGGGACCATCGTGATGTCTTTGGCTAGTTTGTGATGAACATGTCATGGATACAAGTGGATGTAGCCTGCCATAGACTACACGTAAGCCCTACAACCCAACCAAACAAGTAGAAAACCAGAAATTTGGTAACTACACTGGCGACACCCATCAAGGAAGAGGTTTTAAAGCTTCAAGAAGTGGAGTACATCTGGAAAATACAGTACCTTACTTGGCTCTTGAATGTCATCATGGTCTAGAAGGCTAATGAGAAATAGTGGTTGTGTGTCAACATTGCCAATCTGAATGACACTAGCCCTAAGGATTGTTATTTGATGCTAAGAATTGACGCCCTGTGGGATGCTGCATGGGATGCACAGTCATGAGTTTCCTGGAAGCCTTCTACAGCTACCAACAGATCAAAATGCACTTGACAGATGCCGAGAATGCTGCGTTCATCATGGTTGAAAGCATATTTTGTTCTAATGTAACGCCCTTCAGACTTAAGAATGCTGGGACAACATACCATCATCTGCTGAATGTAATTTTAAAAAATAAAAAAAGAAAAAAAACATGGAGGTCTAAGTAGATGATATCTTCGTAAAAGCTAAAGGGTAGAACATCATGTGAAAGATACTTTTTAAACCTTAATAAGATATTTTATGAGACTGAACCAACTAATATGTACATTTGGAGTCTCTACTGGCAAAATTTTATACTACCTTCTGGTCTCAGAAGGAATAAAGGCAAATCTCAAAAAAATCCAAGCACTCATTGACATGTCATCTCACAAATAAATGAGAAGTGCAAAAGTTATTAGATCAGATTTCCTCTCTCAGCCGATTCATCTCAAGATCTAGCGATAAGTGTGTTGCGTTCTTCAAGTTCAGAAGGCCAAAACTTTCCAGTGGACAGAGGAATGTCAAAGAGCATTCTAGAACCTCAAAGATTCTTTGGTTTCACCACCTCTCCTATAAAGCAAGACACCAAATAAGGAACTCTCTTTGTACGTGAGAGTGGGCACTAGAGAAATTAGCTTCGTGCTAGTCCAGGAGGAACTATGGAAGCAATTATCGATCTACTACACCAGTCGTATTCTCTGAGGAGTGGAGGTCATGTATTTGATTATGAAAAAATTAACCTTCACACTAATTAGGTTGGTCTTACTTCCAAAGGCCAAAACTTAAAATTATGACCTTACTTCCAAACACACCCCATTCATATAATCACAGATCATCTGTTAAAGTCGGTACTCGCTCGACCCAAAAATTTTGGTAGGCTGCTCTAGTGGGGAGTAGAACTAAGTGAATTTGACATCACTTACATTCGTCAAATGATGATAAAAGCCCAAAAGGTCGCTAATTTAATGGCATATTTTTCAGAGCAAGGGAACTCAATTAAAGAGAGCTCAAACAAATGTCAAGAGTGGATCATGTACGTGGATGATGCCTCGAAGAAGACAAGACCAAGGTTAGCACTTAACCTCAACGACCATTTAGGAGAACACATGTAACTCTCCCAATTTGTCAAATTCAAGGTAAAAACCAGGAAAAATACAATGTCCTGATTTCCTGCCTACGCCTGGCTTATGAGATAGGCCCCCAAATACTCACAGTAATGTCAGACTCACATCTCATAGTAAATCAAGTAAAAGTAAAATTCCAAGCAGAGATGAGGTGATGATGAAATACCTAAACAAAGCCAAATTAGTGAACTAGAAGTTCATGCAATTCCAAATAGAAAACATCAATAAAAAAGAAAATAAAATAACTGACATGCTATCTAGGTAAATCCAATTAAGAAGTGGAGAACCACAGATATTAACCTGACCAATCATTGAGGAACCCAAATTTATGGTAGTAGAAAGGGAACAAGTTGCAAGCTAGGTAGACTCTTAAGTAAATTTCCTAGAGATAGAAAAAAATTTGGTGGAAATCTCAAATTTTAGGAGGTTCAGACACAACACCGACCAATATTTTTTGACATAAGAAACACCCTTCCCAAAGTCAACCACATCACTATACTTAGGGTGAGTTAGATAAAATGCGATGGAGGACATCCTCGAAGAGGTTCACTTTGGGGAATGCGGAGTCACTTCAGAGGAAAAACATTTGTGCATCGAATCTAATGAAAATAATACTTTTGACTAATAATAATAAGAGATGTAGAAGTGTTCTCCAGACAATGTAAACAATGCCAGAAATATGGTCCATTGCAGCATCAATCGGCTCATAATTACAATCAATCTCTAGTCCATTGCTCTTTGTCGTATGGGGACTAGACATCTTGGGGTCATTCCCACCTTCTAAAGGACAGCACCGGTTCATCCTTGTAGCTGTAGATTACTTCTCAAAAAGGATTGAAGCTAAAGCTTTTGCTTGAATCGCCATGGATGTAGTCTGAAACTTGATTTGGACCGACTTAATTTGTCGATTTGGTATGCCACTAACAATCACCATATATAACGACATGCAATTTGTGGATAAATAGGTTTAGAACTTCTACCAAAGTCAATTCATCAGTCTCAAGTTTGCATCGATCCATCACCTACTAACTAACAAATAAGCCAAACACCTAAGAAGATTATCCTCAATCTATTAAGAAAGAATCTAGAAGGTGCAAAGAGAAATTGGGCGGAAATCATCCCGTATGTACAACCCCTTCAATCGTGACTGCCCAAACACATTTTATACTCCATCATGGAATGGATGCCATTCTGCCAGTCGAGTATGGCTACAATAGCCAAAGGGATCACGCATTGAAGGAATTCAAAGAAGAGAACTTCAAAGATTAGAAGAAGGAAAATGGTAAAGGAGTATCACTCGTACTTGTTATTTTAGAAGACATCCGAGCCAAGATAGCCCTGCGATTGAAAGAAGTCTAAAGGAGGGCCACACAGTACTACAATCAACATGTCCGAGAAAAGACATTCACTTTAAGAGATCTGGTACTAAAGTAAGTCGACTGGCAACATGGGGAAAAACTATAGGACAACTAGAATAAACATGGAGTGGACCCAACATCATTGATTGCTAAGCAAGACGCGGACCCTGCAAATCGAAAACATGGAATTCGAAGTCCCTAGAACATGGAGCGGAGATGACCTCAAAAAGTTTTTTCGTAAACTCTGTATTGTAAAGACAATCTCAAATGAAGGACATTCCTAAAAACTTATTCCATGACTTGTATTTTATTTAAACATTTTGCAAAATAAAGTATATTTGTATGACATTAAGAAATATCACCCTGACTAAGAACCCAATGACTTTTTCAAGTAAGGAAAGAAGTCTGAGGAATTGGTATCCTAGAAATTGAAGACTATCGGCCATG